TGTCTGCCTAGCAGTAGTTTCACGACTGCAAATTTTTAACAGTGTTACCGGGAGGTTTTGGACTTCCCGCTTGCAGACATCACAGGTTCTGTTTCCCTTTATACTAAACCACTTCACTGCACATTCCCGGTGAGCAAGTGCGAGATCACCTCTACAACTGCATTCCATCTTAAGTGTATTCCCTCCTTCCCCAAGCTCCACCAAACAAATCCTACAAACTGCTTGTTCTTCTGGAATATCCTCAGTGTCATCTTCAATGGCTGAAAAGGAAAGAACCGAGTGAAAAGACACAACAGAGGACAAGGACAGATTTAAGCATATGGTTAACAATACCTACAGAAAAATGCTAATAGAAACTTGATAAAAAAAATTTAATCATGGTAAGAAAAATTCCACTGCCTTATTAACCTGTTGCTATTTAAATATCAAGTAATCCTAACTCACAGAAAAAGACAATCTAATCTATAAACTAAACCTAAAATCAAAATTAAAAGTTAACATCATTATAAACTTCATCAGGATTATTGTTTCTTTCTTTAATTTGGAGAGTCCACTCCAATAAAATGAAAGGGTTTTTGGATTATATATATCCAGGAAATCTCCATTTCCTTTCCTGTATATTAATGTTGCTAATTTCATTCAATTTATGGTTTAGGGCTCAACTCAATATCAAATACTTGTTGCTTGTCAGAACATCTGAAATTTCGCATAATGTTGATCAAGAAGTTTGAAAAAAGTGATATTTATAAGAAAACTTAGTAAATTCTATATATATATATATATATATATATATATATATATATATATTGCGTGGAATTACCAATCTCTGGAACCAAACCACCATCACTTGATTTTCTACGAACAGTTTGCCTTGCTGAAATTACACGAATCAAGCCCGTGGCATCTGTAACCCTTAAACTAGCGGCTTTGCTTTTAACTGGGACTGAAAATGATCGAATAATATGCGGATGACCACCCATTTTCTATACAAGAAAAAGGCATATAGTAAGCAACACATGCTATTTTTCACTTACAAAAGGTAAAAAAGTAAGTACAGTGTAAAAGTAGTCTGTTTTGGTCTTGAGACAATAATGAACAGTGGAAACATACACTTGAACCAGAATCACATACAAGATGTCCTCCATCTGCGGTCTCTGAAGCTGAAGTTGCAAATGGAGTAACTGGCAATGACTGTGCACCTTTTGCTGATGGGGAGATGACCTTATTTTTAAGAGACAGATGAATGGAAGATTTATCCAAAGGAGCATCTGATAAGGGAGTTTTAGGAACTATTAGACCTGTCCTTTCAAAATCCTGGGAACAAGTATTTGTCTTGACGCCCTTCTGAGGAAGTAAAGTTCTCATTGAAGACCTGACTTTAGCTGAATTTGGCCTTGGAGGAAGTCCTCTACTGGAACCAGGACTTGATCGTGAAACTGAAGGACCATCGGTTTTTGCAAAAGTAGATAATGCTATATCTAGTGACCACGCTGGTATTTGCAGTGAGGATAGATTAGGCCGTCTGGACTGAGGTATCTTGGGGGCCTTGTCACCCTTTTCATTTCCAGTACATCTCTACAATGCCAAGCCATCAAACTAAATTCAGAGCTGGACCTGTTCATATTCCTTTTACGATGACATGGTATTGTAATTAATTATTACTTTTAGTCTATCCAGTTCATACTAAATTGCTAAAACGTTGATGGTAATCTAATGCTAATCAATTGGCAAAAATATGTATATATATATAAAACAGATTATTGTGCACTGCGGAACCTAGACTCATACATAAAAAATCATCTGTAATGAAAAATAAATCGAACAATTAAATTAGTAATCGCATTACGATCACTCAGATCAAACCCAAACCTGGGTTTCTTCTGCGAAAAAAAAAATATACATATATATATATATATATTTAGAGTAACCTGGGAAGGATCTGGCACAAAATCAGCGTCAAATTGAGGCTCAGCATCAGCACCGTCACCTCTCTTTTCCATTCAGAGAAACGCTTTGGCAAAACTGTTACAGTTTCCGCATCAAATGCCCAAATGCCATAATGTGTGTTATATTTTGATTTAATTATGATTAGCATTATAATAATGGAAGGAAAAGGAGGTGACAATGATGATACCGATCGGAACAGGGGTTAGGGTTCCTCTGATTCAGATAATTAATTAATTAATTAACGAAACTAAAAAGATTATTCACTTTTTTGGAGTTGTTAACTCACGATTATTACCCGCCAACTGCAACTCGTGACACGCCAACTTTATGATCCTTCCACTTCTCCCACGATTCTCCATTTTACGTTCTTTTTCTCTTTCCTTCCTCTGCACTCTGCTCACACACACTTTTCTTTGAGTCCTCACACGCCTCTTTCAATTCTTTCCCGTTTTTTCCATCTTTTTTTCACCTCACAGATTCAATAAATATACATAAATAATCAAACGCCACCTATAACCTCATTTTTCTTTCATGGTCATCTTCGTTTATTTTTCTCGAGAAATAAAATGTGTATGTGACGTCAATTTTGTGTAAAAAATATTTATAGAGTTTGAGGTCTGTATTATTTATTTGTATAAAAAAAATTACTCTATTAACCAGGATTTTTTAAAATAATTATTCTAAAAATTAACAAACTCAACGCACATTTTATTATAATTTAAAAATATTAAAGTTAAGTTAAAATTCATAAACAAATGATGATTTCTAATTAATTATAGATTTAATAATCAAAATAACCTTTATATAAAAAACAAAACGTTTTTAACACCTATACTTTAAACTAAGATAATAACTTTTCATTTTATTATATTAACTCAATATAAAGAAAAATGTCAAATTGGTTAAATATTCATTTTTATGAAATTTTACGGTTAAGATTTTGATATTATCACTCCTTCATAACATTTTTAAGTAAATATTATTAATTAAGTTGACAATTTTATTGTATATTAATATTACAAATTTTGTTTGATTGTCAATTTGAATAAATCAACAACATAGGAATTTAATTATATTTTTCTTCCTCTATTTTCTTAATTTTACAAATTGACCTCAAATGAATTTTGACTCAATATTCTAATATTTTAATTTTATAAATGTGGCCAATTTATAAAATTACGAGATATGATTAAATTAATAAGTAATTAATATTTATGTTGGTGCAATGTGATTATAATGGTCACAATATTTTATATTAAACATATATCGATAGTTTATTTGATGTTTGATATCATTCGTTAGATTGGTCCATATCAATAGTTAATGTACTGACCTAACTATTTTGTTGTTTGAATTTCTAAGGTTTGAAATTCAAGGAATATAAATAGCAAGGATTCATGTTGTATTATTGTTGTTTCTAATGTTTTTAAGCAAAAAGAATATTTAAGCAACTACTTGTTAAAAATCTACGTAACTTAAAAATATTTAAGCAATCTTCCTAAAACTATTTAATTAAGAGGATGACTTTAATATTTTAACGACGTATAAAAATAAACGTACCAAAACCTTTTAGGATTATAAATATGGAAGATTTATGACACAAGTAGAAATGAGGTCTCTCAAATGTTTGAACTCGACACAATTTTATAAGGATGATTAAAAGTTAAGAATATTTTTAAATAATTACAAGTTTTTTTTATTTCAAAAACTTAAATTTAATTGTGATTTTATGCTTGACTTTTGTATTGAATGATTATCTATATTCATCTTACTTTTCTTTTAACCAATCACTTAATATATTTAATATATACAATTATATAATTTTAGAGAATCATATAATACCAATGTCACTAAATAGGGAAAGATTTAGAGTAGAGAGTCCAAAAGTAATTAGAGAACTTTCTTTATTTTTGAGATGTATTCTATGTTGTAAATTACAACACAATTCTAACTAAGTTTTCTTATGCATTGTTTAACTTGTGTTAAGTTTGGATGTTGCAAATATTCTTATATAAGAAGTCATTGTGTATAAACATTAGTTATATAGTTTAAATATATTTTTTATCTTAAATATCGTTGTTCATATTTTGATATATATATATATATGTGCGTTTTTTATATTTCTTAATTCTATTAAGATGTTACTTTTTATCTGGGAAAACTATGTGAAAGAAGTTGAAATTCTCATTAAATTTTGAATTAATTTATTAATGGGTAAACATTATCTGTCTCAATCTATTATCATCCTTAATAATACCTGTATCAGTTTTGATAACATTTGAATACAAAAAATATTCGTACTCATTATACATAGATATTTATTTTTAATATTTATTTCTTCTTTTATCTCTAATACTTGCAAATACGTATTTTTTAGACATTCCTTAAGCTACCAAAAATGCAATTTAGTTAACTTATTAAAACTAGTTTTGCTTAGATGGCTGATTTACAATACGAATTCGATTTGATAAGATGAACAGTGATAGTTTGGTTGATAATGGAGAGGGAAGTGAGTAAAATGAAAAGAAAAAAAAAACATTTAATTAATGAGAAAGGTGATGGAAAGTAGTGAAGATGTGGGAAAAAGAAAGAAGAGGAAGGTAGTGGGGAGTTTCATTTTAGTACAAGTTGGATTGAAATTTGAAGTCACTAATAAACTCAATTCAATTCAATGGAAGAGTCCAAGTCAGCCACAACACTCAAATCATTCACTCACTCAATATTCACATTTCAACCCATTGGAGTTGCTGCTTCCTCGATGCATCCTCACAATCATGCATTGAATTTGTATTTGCATTTGCATTTGCATTTGCATCGCACTCCACCACACATGACTCACGACACACACAACCTCAAATTGGATCATACATTAACTTCTCACTTTTTCTCATTAACCAAAACATCATCGTAATATTATTCATTAATTTCATACTACCCAACCATGCAATATGAGAAAAAGCTTAAGTATATTTTTCTTAATTAATTAATACAATAATAATTAAGTTGGTCCTTGTGGGAGAGATGAACACGTGGCCCAAATGAAGGGTGAGGATGTTTCGTTGAGTTGGTAAGTATGAGGATGACTAATAAGGACATTGAAAATTGAAACCACCATAAATAGCCCACCATTGCAAACTTTTCTTCCTTCCTCACAAACCAAACCAAACCAAACAAAAACAAAACCAAATTGTGTTTCCCTCCTTCCATAACTCATGTTACCATGTCCGGTCCTATTCCTAACGATCACTGGCTCCATTTCTATCAACAACCCCAATTCTCCAGCGGCGCTCAAGAGCTGCTCCCCTCTTCTGTTTCCGAGGCTACAGCCGTCACAACCACCGTGGCGCCGGCCCAGTTGAGCCCAGAGGGCGGAGTGTCGAAGCCCGTCAGGCGGCGTTACCGGGCCTCCAGGCGAACTCCCACGACTCTTCTTAACACGGACACCACCAACTTCCGGGCGATGGTGCAACAGTTCACCGGTGCTTCTTCTGCGCCTGATCTGTTTGGGCCGACACGTCCACTCCCTGTCAACCCTAATGGGCTGATGTTGGCCCCTTCTCACTCTCTTCAGCAGCAGCAACAGCAGCTTTATCAGCAGCAGTTCTACCCAACATCATACGCGGAAGGAGCAGAGAACGGTTTGTTTGACAGAGTGAGCAACGGAACGGGATCAACAGCGACAAATGATGGAGGTGGGGTTTTGATGGAGCACGCAAGGCTTTTCTTGCCAACTTCCTCTTCTTGATTCTTCCCACTCAGACTGAGAGCGACATATGCAAAGCAGAACAGAACTTGGATAATTAGGTGCTAACTTGTTGACAAAACCTCCTATCTGCGTCAATGTGAAATGGAATTTTACGTTTCTTTCTCTGCTCTAGGCACCACAAATCCATCTATCTTTTTTTTTTTTCTTTTTATCTTTATTATTTCGATGATGAAGATGATCATGCTGTGCTTCTATATCTTTTTCTGGGTGTTGCCCCAGGCTTTTATTTCTTTTTTGTTTAAATCTCTGTATTTTTTTTTTATTTATTTATGTATTTTTAGTTAATTGGCAGCCTTCTCTTTGGGGAGTCCTAGTTCCAGAATATTTAGTTTAGTTGTTTTGGATATGGTCAGTTGGTCACAGCCTGCCAACCAACACTCTTTTACGTATGTTGACTTGCTTCCTATTATGCCTCTCTCTCTCTCTCTCTGTCTCTCTCTGTCTCTCTCTCTAACACAACCTTATTCATGCACTCAATTTTGTATTAATTTATATGTCAATTATTTTTTATTTTTTTTTATCAAACTACTTATGTTACAACAAACAATAATTCTTGGACACTAAGCAACCTATATTAAACGCACGAGGGAGGGATAAAAGAGATTAATTTACACAAGTGGCGATGATATGATAGAGAGAAATCATTGATGTTGAGTGAGGTGCGTGAAATGGAATTTCAACTATTAAACCTCTATTTACTACATACTTTTTACATTCTCTTTTTCGTAAAGCTAACATAAAACTATATTACATGTAAGCATAGCATTCCTTGTCTCCATAGGCTTTGGTAACGTAAAATGTGAAAACAGCCTTCTTATTACTTTAAAAAATCACATTATCATCTGTGCTTGCACTGTTAACACTTTACTCATCATAAAACAAATCCTAAATTACTCTGCTTGCACTGTAAATGTCAACTTCATGGTTGGAGTTTCAATATCTCTATAGCGAATTTTAAGTTCAGATCACTTCAATTCAATATCCATGGAAGAATATTGGACGAGAAAGATTAATAATCCCTTCAATAGGAATTAGTCTCTGAAAACCTGCCAGGAAAATATCCTGGGTTTAAAATAATCCAGTAAACTACCTTACAATTACTTGTTTCGCTTCAAAATTCTAAGATAAAATCAGGACCTGTGAGCCCACAAGCCTTAAAGAATTCACTAGCTAGATCCGGGTAGGTTAGTTCATCCGCCTATAAATATCCAAATTATTCTATATATTGAACAAAAGCATACCCCTGTTTGTTTTAGCACTACGACAATAATTTTGATATGTTTTGAAAATGCATGTTAACGAATAAGATTAATGTAAACACTATCCATTACTTTTAAATTCATACAATGTATTTTACTATAGAATCCATTCAATTTTTATAGCATAATCTTCATCTTTTGTGGAAGCTATGCATTTTATGCCAAGCCCACAAAGTTTACTCCCTTAAATTGTTAATATTGTACAGTAAGCCGAATTACTGCCAACACTTTCTAAAGTAAACGGGCAGCATCTTGATAATACATAATTGTTAATATTGTACAGTAGTCTGTCTCTCAAGTCATAATTAAGGAAGAAAGCGACTCACAACTTAATCAAAATGTACAATCCAAAATTACGTGAATAAAAAGGTCATGGTATTTTTCCCATCTAAAATAAGCATATGCACAAACAACACTTTCACGTATACCAGCATTTAACACGCAAAATTTTTTACCACACCAGCTAAATGAAAGTTCCCTTGTGCAACTCCAAATCCCCTATCCATGATATAATGCATACGATGTTATAGATACTGCATGGACAGTTGCTATTGACATTCTGCCGAGAACCAAACAATCCATCGAAGTATACCTACTTTTTGTTCTCGTCTTTTCCATTATTTTGAGGATTAAGCTCATCATCATTATAGTATTCTTCAAAAAATTCTTCATCACTGTCATCCTCCTCATCATAATAATACTCCTCTTCGTCATCATCCTTATCGACCTTGCCATTTTCAAGACGAAGTGTGCCATCACTTGACAGCTGACGTCTTAACCTCTCCTGAATACGATCCCTAATTGCTGTTCCCTGTTTTGTAGAACCAAGTGATAAGAAAAGACGTGATGAAGTAAACAAGTAATTTACGTACACCACAAGGAAGAATTACATAGCTTTTTCACATAAATTAGCTCACCATCTTGTGGCAACCTTCTTCAAACATTTCCAGAAACCCAGCAACCCAACGGTCAGCATTTTCCACCCACTCATTCCTATGCATACCAGCAGTCTTTGCAACAATTTGGATCTGGATAAACCACACAAATACATACATCTTTACCGTAATTAAGAAAAAACAGATGATTTTTAACGTAGGATACTATTATATGTTGAAAGGAGAATACTCATGTCCGCAGGACAAGTATTGCCTTACTCTAGAAAAAACATAGGCTTTCACATGCTACTTTCTCAAGGAAATATTACTATGACCGAATCCGACATAATTTTCCAAATCACCCAGATATACATTCAGCAAAATCAATAATTTGAAAAGGCTGCTTCCTAATACTGATTTTAGAAACTATTGTTAGACATCTTGTAGCCTTGACATTTAAGGTGTAAATGATATTTTTCCTTTTGAAAAAAAACTATAAATAGAGACAGACACAGAGAAAGAGAGAGAGAGATGAAAAAAATATTAAAATAGTATCAATTCTCTATTTTCTTATACAAGACAACTACGATAAAGCCAGTCCATAGTTTTTCATTCTAGTCTTTTCAGTGCACACAAGAATCTTAATGTTGTCCAAATATTAACATGAGCTTAGTAAAGTCAAGGAGAAAAGGTGAAACAAGAAACATCTAGAATTAGAAGTATAGCTTAAAATAGAGAATTACGCCAAATCAATCAAGCAACTGACTGATATTAGTTTCATGGCAATGAATCATACAACCACTGATTACCAGTGAAAGTGTCAAACGGTGGTCTAGGATACCCGTTAGTGAAGGTTTGATAAAAAAAATTGGAAATTGAGAGCAACCAGTTAAAGCTATATTTAGAAAATAATATAAATATGTAAACTTAGCATGTGCTCAAAGGCTTGCCATCCCCGCCCTAGGGCCTCTTCTCTCATTACAACAGTAATCAAACATCAACAAAATCCAGAAAGTGATGAAGCCACGATATCTAATAACGTACAGAAAATATGGAAACAAAGACATATGAGGAAAAGTATCACAACATGAGAACTGCAATATTTGGAAAGGTAGATTCAATTAATTTGGTAATGCTAGGAGTCCATGTTTCTGAATTAAATCATACTGCATGACTCCTAAGAATAATAACGCAACATAACCACATGTAAATCCAGATAGGGTCACTAAATTTTTTTGTTGATTTTACTCCTTAATCATGTTTTTGTCCTTGACAAAGCACCCAAAATCCTCAAATACGACACGTCAACAAAACTGTGAAAATGAACCATTGAGTCCAAAAACCTGTAGTAAATGTCCAGCGTCCCATACCAGTTTGAATCACAACCGAGAATAACTATGAATTTTTCAAATAACTTTACTTGACGTTCTCAGCTTCTACTTCAATGATGATTACATTACAATATACATGCATTTTGATCCTAACACTTTCACCCCATATAGTTCAAATATTTTTTCCCAACACAAGTGTTAATTTGATTTGATCAACCAAATGATATCTAATAGCAATACATACCTTTTCACCAACTTTTTCTTGATGTTCTTTCACTTTCTCTTGCAATGTTTTCAACCTTCTATTCACCCTCAGTCGCTTTTCCTATTTAAGACAAAGCAATGAAAACCACAAGAGACAAGAGTATTCACCAAAGGAACAGAAAGAGTAACATCAGTATAAAAACAAAACATCGCTGAAAGAGGTATCCTGTTAAATTTTTAAGTAGAATATATCAAAGAGATTTATGCCAAATCATGCCTTCACATAGCTCACGCCAAGCTCATTTCTTGAGTAGCCACGATCCAAGTTCCGCAACACATATTGGTTATAGTCTTTGACAATCCTCATTATAACATCTGACGTGGATATTCCTTCAGTCCGTTTTGTTTCCTTAAACCTCCCAACAGATTTAACCTACACACAAAATTCACGGCTTATAGTACAAGCGAAAAGGGAAAGTGACTAGGAAATAATAATTAAAAACAAAAACATTTTGTCATACATACAAATTCATAAACATCATTGGCAGCACCACTGGCATCAGCATAACTGTGGACAATGGGTTGAGAAATGCAAAAGGGATTATCACAGTATGCATACATATGCAATGAAATGAATGGATCCAAATTGCCAGATTCACATGTTAATGCTGAAATATTATTCTTACGGAAGAGAGTCATGAGCTACATAGTCAATGTTGTGCTTGTCAAGAAACTCTTGATTAATAACCCAAGGGGCATCAGGAATAACTTCGTCCACCCATCTGCTCTCGAAATGAAACCAAAAAGAAATTGAAATTGCGATTGAAATTGAAAGAGCTTAAGCAACAAGGTTCTGTTAACAAACTATCATACTTGCAGTGGCGCAGGGATTCGTATCGTTCGGCCTCTGTCATAACAGTTTTGCCTTTGTATTTGTGGGTGACCTCATCGTTGCAACAACCAACCAATAAGTATGTATTCGGAAACCTAAAATTCGAGAGTAAGCAAAAAAGTGTCTGTGAAGGGAACGGTGGCGAAACTCTTCCTTCTTTCTTTTTTTACCAATCTTCAATTAATTAGTTGATTATTCATCATTAATGGATTGACATAAAATGCATAATTGCGATTGATTAATCAGATCTCGGAGGGAAGGGACGAAAGAGGGTAATTAAGATTGAAGGAAGCAGCAAATGCAAAGGAATGAATAGGATGAAATGATGCATACGATTTCTTGGCTTGCTCGAGGGAGCGAGCGTGGCCAAAGTGGAAGAGATCGTAGATGCCGTCGGCGTACACTCGAACGGGACGGTCCTCCGAAGGCGACGTCGTTTTGGAATTCGACTGTTCGTTGTGATCTGCCATTCGCCTCTTCTCCTCTGCTCTGCCCCTCTTTTCCTTCGTAATTTCGCAGACGCCGTATGCGTTTTTTCTTTCTTCGCTATTTTTCCCGAAATTCTTTTTCTTTTTTCCTTTTTCTTTTATTAAAGTGTTCTTCTTTCCTAATCACGACGACTAAATCGTTGTTTTATAAACATTAATCGCTCACCACTTCTTTCCCTCCCCAATTTTTCTTTTTAAACATTTAA